TCCGAGGAGTGGCTGGTGGGTTTGAACTGCCAGCCGTCTGGTTAGCAGGCAACTGTCTTAGCCACTATGCTACCAGAGCTCAGTAAGGCTTTTGGGACCTCCATTTGCTGCTGTAGCACATCTCAAGAGGAGAAGAAACACCTGTAAACATCCATTAATAACTGGAACATGAAATATATGAACTATGAATCCAGGAAAACTGGACACTGTCAAAAATAAAACGGAATGCATAAACATCTATATCCTAGGCATTAGTGAGCTGAAATGGACTGTTTTTGGCCATTGTGAACCAGGCAATCATATATCTATTATGCCGGGAATGACAAACTAAAGAGGAATAGCATGGCATTAATCATCACAAAGAATGATTTGAGATCTATCCTTAAGTAAAAATCTGTCAGTGAGAGGATAATATCCATATGTCTACAAGGAAGACCCGTTAATACTTCTATAATTCAAATTTATGCACCAAACACCAGAGCCAAAGATTAGGAAATTAAAGATTTTTACCAACTTCTGTAGTCTGAAATTGACCAAACATGCAATCAAGATGTGTTAATTATCACTGGCGATTGGAATGCAAAACTTGGAAACAAAGAAGAATCACCAGTAGTTGGAAAATACAGGTGATAGACATAATGCTGGAAATTGCATGACAGAATTTTGCAAGACCAATGACTTCTTCATTGCAAATACCTTTTTTCAACAACACAAACGGCAGCTATACACATGGACTTTGCCCAATGGCATACACAGGAATCAGATTGACTACTTCTCTGGCAAGAGGTGATGGATAAGCTCAGTATCTTCAGGCAAAATAAGGCCAGGAGATGATTGTGGAACAGACAATCAACTGTTCATATGCAAGTTCAAATTGAAATTGAAGACAATTAAAATGAGTCCATAAGAGCCCAAAATATGACCTTGATTATATTGAAATATTGAAAGATTCTATGGGCAATATATTGAATGATATTCCTCCTAAATTTAGAGACCATTTAAAGAATAGATTGGATGCATTGAACACCAATGACCGAAAACCAGAGGAATCAATCATGGGATGACATCAATAACACCATGTGTGAAGAAAGCAAGAGGTCACTGAAAAGACAAGAAAGGAAGAAAAGACCAAAATGGATGTCAGAACAGACTCTGAAACTTGCCCTTGAACAGAGAGTACCTAAAGCAAATGGAAGAAATGACAAGATAAAAGAGCTGAACCGAAGATTTCAAAGAGCAGCTTGAGCAGACAAAGCCAATAATTATGATGAAATGTACAAAGACCTGTAGTTAGAAAACCAAAAGGGAAGAACATGTTCAGCATTTCTCAAGCTGTAAGAACTGAAGAAAAAAATTAAGCCTTGAATTGCAATATTGAAAAATTCTATGGGCAATATATTGAATGATACAGGAAACATCAAAAAAGATGGAAGGAAGACACAGAGACACTATACCAAAAAGAACTGGTCGATCTTCATACATTTCAGGAGGTGGCATATGATCAAGAACCAATGGTATTGAAGGAAGAAGTCAAAGCTGAACTGAAGGAATTGGCAAAGAACAAGGGTCCAGAAATTGACGGAATACCCATTGAGATGTTTCAACAATCAAATGCTGTGCTGGAGGCACTCACTTGGCTATGCCAAGAGATTTGGAAGACAGCTACCTGGCCAGCTGACTAGAAGAGATCCATATTTGCACCCATTCCAAAGAAAGGTGATCTCACAGAATATGGAGATTATGGAACAATATCATTAACATTTCATGCAAATAAAATCTTTCTGAAGATAATTCAAAAATTGTTGCAGCAGTATACTGACAAAGAACTTCCAGAAACACAAGCTGGATTTAGAAGAGGATGTGGAATGAAGGATATCATTGATATTGGCTCAAAGCAAAGAATACCAGAAAGATATTTACTTATGTTTTATTGACTACACAAAAGCATTTGATTGTGTACATCATAACACATTATGGATGACATTGAGAAAAATGGGAATTCCAGAACACTTAACTGTACTCATGAAGAACCTGTACATAGACCAGAAGGCTGTCATTCCAATAGTACAAAAGGATACTGCATGGTTTAAAATCAGAAAGGAAATGTGTCAGGGTTTTATCCTTTCACTATACATATTCCATCTGTATGCTGAGCAAATAATCTGAGAAGTTGGACTATATGAAGAAGAGCATGGCATCAGGTTTGGAGGAAGGCTTATTAACAACCTGAGATATGCAGATGACACAACTTTGCTCACTGAAAGTGAAGATGACTTGAAGCACTTACTGAAGAAATTGAAGACTATAGTCTGCAGCATGGATTACACCTCAATATAAAGAAAACAAAAATCCTTACAACTGGCCCAATAAGCAGCACCATGATGAATCGAGAAAAGATTGAAGTTGTCAAAGACTTCACATTACTTGGTTCTACAATCAACACCAATAGAAGCAGCAGTCAAGACATCAGACAACATATTGCATTGGGCAAATCTATTGCAAAACACCACTTTTTTTTTTTCCTTTTAATTTTTATTGTGATTTGGGTGAAAGTTTATAGAGCAAATTCATTTTCCATACATAAGTTTATACACATTTTGTTCCAATGACATTGACTGTAATCCCCACAATGTAACAGCTGTCGTCCCACTTCCTCCATGCAGTTACCTCTTCCCTCTGTCCTTCTTATCTATTCATTCCTGCCCCTGAGCTATCTCCCTGTGCAAATACTGCCCTTATGTTCTCCTATGATTCATCATTCTGAGGAGAGTATCTATATGATGTAAATGTTCACCCTATATGTCTGCTGAACATTTATATCATATAGATACTCTCCTCAGAATGATGAATCATGGGAGAACATAAGGGATGTAAATGTTCACCCTATATGTCTGTCTAGGAGCTCTGGTAGCATAGTGCCTAAGGCACTTGACTGCTCACCAGAAGGCTGGCGGTTCAAACCCACCAGCCACTCCTCGGAAGGAAGGTTGGGCAATCCTACTTCCGTAGTGATACTGCCTTGGAAACCCAAGGAGGGGTTGCTATGAGTTGGGGCCGACACGACGGCAAACAACAACAACATATGTCTGTCTATTGTTTTGCTGAAAGCCACTGGAGTAAATTCAGTTCCAGACCTGAAGGGTAACTAGGGACCATAAGCTCAGGGATCTCACCACGCTCTAAGAGACCAGTAAACCTGGCCTTCTTTGTTTTTATCATTTTGAGTTTTGTCCCACATTGTCCTTCTGCTCTATCCAGGATCTCCAGCACAGATCCCTCTCTGAGTGGTTGACAGTGGTAGCTGGGCACCATTTAATTCTTCTGGGTTCATGGTTATCTACTCTGAGGTTTGCATGGTCCACTAGTCCATTGGTCTAATTATTTACATACATCTTTGCTTTTTTTTTTAATTTTAAGATCTTGTTTTATATTCAACATTACATGTACATTTAGTTTCACTCCCCATTTACCATGTCCAACCCTAACCCCATCACCTCCTCTCCCTAACCTGTAACTCTCCCCCCTGTGCCCCTCATATTTATGGACTCCCATTTGTCCTCATTTGTTCAGCCTGAATGTTGGTCCTCTGGTGCCCCGTGGTCCACTGCTCTAAGGGATGTATTACCATAGAGTATGTGGGTGTGTCATCCTGGGTTGAGTGGTCTGCATGTACATTTTGTTAACTATTGGACTGATAGCCAGCCCCTGGGGGTGAATTTTATTCCAAGTGCAGAATGTATTCCAGGGCCATAGTATTGGGGGTCTCATCAAACTTCCTCTGAACAGTAATTCTCGTCATTATTGAGTTTTGGGATTTTGTTCCACATTTTTCCTCCCACTCAATCCAGGATCTCCAGATTTGATCCTTTCCTGAGTGGTTGGCATTGATAGCCAGGAACCATCTAGTTCCTTTGGTCTCGAGGGCTATAGTGTCCTATGGCTGATTGTTTCCAAAGGCCCCTTGTTTTTTTCTTTTCTTTTTTTGCATTCTTCTTCACTTCTGACACTAGGAGACCATTAGCTGCATCTTAGATGGCTGCCTGAAAGCTTTTAAAACCCCAGTTGCTACTCACCAATGTAGGATGAGGAACAAGGCTTTT